GACAAATAAAGGGGCTACATTTAATGTATGTATGTAGGTAAAAGTAAACATGCACTGAAAATGAAGAAACTACATCGTTCAAAACAAATAAATTTAAAGGAAACTTTGGATCACCTAGCTTCGGGGAAGGATAGCATACGGCCCCTGGTGGAAACGGGGGTGTGATGATAGATTCACCCTTCAATCGGAATCCACAGCGCTCTCTAGAATGCGATTGAGTGGTATTTCAGTTCTTTTCCATCTTGGTTCTTTGTTCTGAGTGAAGGTCTAATTTTTGAAGTGAACTTCTTATTTTTTAAATTAGATATACTACTCTGGAGACCGGAACTCCTGCCTATCACTTTGGAGCTGAAAAGTAATACTGCAGACAGTTCAGTGCAGCGTGTTGGAGCAGTAGCAAGGGTGCATGTCTCAAAACAGGGAACACAGCAGATCCAATAGTTACTAGCTGGTGTCTGAGAACTTCCCGCTTGTGGGTAAAATAGTGCTAATTTGATTTTATTTTAAATCAATGTTCCTGATTTATAACTGATTTGGTTCCTGACGAATTGTTGTAGTGCACCTAAGAGTGCATAGTTATAAATAAATAAATAAATCCTGAGTATAATCCCTGGAGAAAAGTTCCCCCGTAGATTCTTGGTGAAGTGCTTGGCAGCTCACTTTCATATCTACCTTGTCATGGGCGAACTTGGTGCGCTTCTCAGGTAATTATAAAATTCAAGAGGTTGCGTCTTTCCAGCGAACTGTACGGCTGATCTGTGTCACAATGGTGGTACGTGTATTCCTTTCCGGAATGGAACGGAAGACATTTGTGAATGCGCACCTGGTTTCACTGGATCCAAATGCCAATACGGTATGTTGTTTTTACGTATGTTTTTATCTTCAGCATTCGCGCTTTCACCCTAAGGTTTCCGGAACACTCAAAAAACGGAAAGTGTCGGGTCGCCCTCGTTGGATCGAGAAGGATAGTAACAGCAGATCTGCTCAAAAACCTGTAAATATCCGTCAGGGGCTGGAACATATAACACGTGGCGAGCTTTTCCTTAATAAAGTGGCTAATTCTTCCTCTCCCTTCGTGGTTCTTCTGAAGCAGGTTACACCAATGAAATTCAGGAGTAGTAGTAAGAGTTCTAGACAAGCGACTGTTTCCTCATCATGGTCACTACAATAAGAAAGGAGAGTCGCATATGGAGTGAAGAACTCAAAATCCTAGAATATTTTTCCAAAATTTGCTTACTTTTACATCGTGGTTATAGATATCAATGAGTGTATAGCGGATAACGGTGGCTGCCATCACGACTGTGTGAACACGATCGGAACGTTCTACTGTAGATGTTGGTCAGGGTTTGAGCTGGAGGAAAATGGAAAACACTGCAAAGGTTTGTGTCTTACTATTTCGCACGAAGCTTTTATATGGGAACCACTTACACGAATCTTGACTGAACGGGATTTTTGCAAGTGGTAGCATTTTAATATGGACCTCTTAGAGTCCCGAATTTCCTTCTGACCGATTGGATACCCACGGTCATAGATTAAAAAAAATTCATTAATGCAAATTCGAGGTGATACAGTGGTTTTTTCTTCGGACTGGAGTAGATAAGAACGAAAACTAATTTTTCAATTGATACCCTTAATCTGAACATCAGTAACTACAGTAGCGGTCAAAAGTGTTCGCCGAAATGGCTTTTCGCGCAGTACCATTTTTCTTTCAAAAATAGCTTTACGATTGACTGCAATTTTTTCTTTTCAATATCTTGGGCCTTCAAGTCTCGAGAATTAGAAAATACCAAAATACATAGCATATCACTATTTCACGCAAATTCTACAAGGGAGTGAAAATAGCGCACGAGAAACTTTTTCGGCGAACACTTTTGACCGCTACTGTATGTAGTAGCAAAAACTGTCGAAGAATCAGTCTGACGTTGAAAATATAAAGTATTAGTAAAATCATGCTATTTTAGTAAGAGGTTAGTAAATGTTTGATTTTCAGACATTGACGAATGTGCGATCTCAAATGGCGGATGCTCTCACCGATGTGTGAACTCGCCAGGTGGTCATAGGTGCGAATGTCCGCCTGGGATGCAGGTGAATTCTGGAGGAAGGAAATGCGTTGGTGAGTTCTCGGGGCTTTCCGGCATTTCATTGCGACAGAAATAAAACCTAGATCAATGGACATGCACGGGTAACATTTTTATGGATTAAGAGAATTCGCTTTAATGGACTACTGCGGTTCATCACCTGAAAAATTTCGTTGCCACACTATTTCAAAGACCGTCTGGGGCTTCCACCGTCACCTAGAGTTAAACAGTTATGTGAAGGCTCATTTGGGAGAAATCTAGGTTGATCACGTGGTCGATCAGTGGTAGTAAAACAGCTCAGGTGGTCATTCATTTCAGTAGGAATATGCCACAAGGTCTTGCTAGTATCAGGACATCCGCTCCAAGCTTGCAAGCTCGACAATTCCGGTTTACCCTCGAAATTAACTATCCCCTTCCCCAACCAACCCTCCATGTAAACAACCTGCATATGAACATCTGGGCTACTTTGTATAACAAGACCTCTTTGACCTATTCAATAAAAATTAACCGGCGGTGTAGAACGGCCACAAGTTCTTACGTGGAGTCCTGGATCATTTGCTGCATTATGAGGT